ATCTACCTGTGTCAATGTTCACCCCATATGCCTGTCTACTGTTTGGCTGGAAGCCGTAGGACTGAGTTCAATTCCAGGCCTGAAGGTAACAAGGGGCCAGAGTCTCAGGGTCTCACAGGCTCCATCAGACCTCTCAACCTGGCCTTTTTTTTTTTTCTTTTTTTGGTATGATTTTGAGTTTTGTTCCTCATTGTTCCCCCACTCTATCAAGGATCTCCTGCACTGATTCCCATCTGAGTGGTTGCCTGTGGTAGCCGGGCACCATCTAGTTCTTCTGGTCTCATGGTCATACAGGCTGAGGATGACATGGCCCACTCGTCCCTTGGACCAGTTGTTCCCATTCGTGGAGAGAACTTTCTAAACCTGCAATGGGTCAGATGCAGGGAAAGGGGAAGCCCAGATCTGGGTGTGAGAGGACTGGCCACTCCGTGGCTGGAGGCCTCCTTCCGTGTCCCTTCCTGCCTTCGGAGCTTCATCCCTGGACACAACATGCCCGTTTGATTTCGTGTGGTTGGTTATTCTAAGGAACGTGTACCTCCCTGCTGTTTCATGTTCACCTTATGGGTCTGTCTCTCAACTGGCTGAAACTGGGCCACAGGGCTGACTTCAGTTATAGGCTTGAACTGAACCATAGTTTTGGGAATTCCACCAGTCTCGATCAGACCAATAAGCCTGTGTTTTTGTTGTTTTGTTTTTACTTTATGATTTTGAGTTAATGGTCTCATGGTCATATAGGCTGAGGATCACATGGTCTGCTAGTCCCTAGGACTAATTGTTTCCATGCGTCTCTGGTTTTCTTCATTCTTTTCTGTGGACAAGAAGAGACCCATCATTGCCTCTACATGGCCATTTGCAAGCTTTTAAGACCTCCGTCATTACTCAGCACTGCAAGATGTAGAACAATGTTTTTGTGTAGTATGTTACGCCAATTGAGCTTGATGTCCTCTGCCACCATGGTCCCAAACCCATAGGTTTAACTACTCACTCCCATAGGGTGGTTGGCTGTGGTCAAGATGTTATCCTAACTTTGCCAAGGCTGGTTCTGTATCACTGACCGGAAGAGCAGGTTACAAGGCAGAGGACTCATCCCAGCAATAAAAAGAAGGCACTCCGGGCATTGCTCAGACCCCCGACCCCCTAGCTCAACTGCCTCTGTTGGACTCAGGTCTTGAAAGGAGTGTCGGCGCGAGGAAGCTACCACTGACACGATAATGCAAGAGCAAAAGGAAAGTTTATTGGCCAGCTCAAGCTAGGGTCTCCACTTATACCGACACAGCAGTTTGGGCAAAAGACCCCGTGCTCTCCTACAATTACATTTTTATAGGAAAAATACAGGGTGGAGTAACACGAAAGCAAAGAGGTACAAATGACTGGTTGTTTCTAGGGGGTAGAAAAGGAGGGGAGGGGGTTTGAGGTAAAGCCCTGAGGCATGGGGGACATGCTGGAGTCCCCGGCACTAAAGACTCCTGGTTAAAGAATAATTATCTGGAGGGCATTAGTACAAAATGAGTGGTTTCACAGAACCACCTGGGCAGAGCCAGGCCGGATGCCTCAGAGCACGGCTCCCACTTCCTCGCTGTGCCCTTGGGTGGCACACAGCTCTGGGCTAACTGTAAAATGAGGGTCTGGTTGCCTGAGGATGAGAGCCAAGGGGTTCAGCCACTCCCCCAGGCCTGAGGCAAGACCCCTTGACGGGGGGTCTCCACAGGCAAGTCCACATCCCTCCTGCCAAGTGGGACCCAGATTCCAGAGAGCTGGGCCTGAGGCAGAAAGCCATGTTGTGGGCCTTGGCTGGAGGGTGGGTGCAAAGGCCAGGGAGCAGTGGAGCTTGGAAAAGGGGGTAACTGAGGGGGAGGGACTCTGTGGGTGGTGCTCTCAGCTATTAATGGAAAGGTTAGTGTCTGAGTCCACCCAAAGGCACCTCAGAAGGACGGCCTGTGATCTTCCAGAAAATCTGCCACGGAAAACCCTCGGAGCACAGTTGACTGACATACGTGGGGCCCACTGGCCCAGACAGCTGATTTTGTTTGTCCAAAGGGAGGAAGGGTCCTAAGCCAATGAAAGAGTTTCGGGGGGCAGATGCTGCCTGGAGGGGGTATGAGGGTAGGAGGCCTTCCCCTGGAGGTGGGCTTGAGAGAGCCCCTATTGAGCTCCCCTGGGAGTGAGGGACAGAGCCTTCCTGCCTGGGCTGCACAAGATCTCTGAAGGCCCCACCCACCGGCCCGCCCACAGCCTTGCCATCCTTTTTTGTTTTGTTTTGTTTTTTAAAAAATCATTATTGTGATTTGGGTGAAAGTTTCCAGAGCAAATTCACTTCTCATACAGTAGCTCACATACACTTTGTCTCATGACATTGACTACAATCTCCCACAATGCAACAGCTCCCCTCCCACTTCCTCCCCATAGTTACCTCTCCCCTGTGTCCTTCCCTGCATGCACTCCTGCCCACTGACCTGTCTCCCAGTGCATACACAGCCCTTCTATTCTCCCATGAGAAATCTCTCCAAGGCGTGTATCTACCTAATGTAAATGTTTAGCTCATATGTCTGTCTTATGTTTGTCTAGAAGCCACAGGAGTGAGTTCACTTCCAGACCTGAAGGGCAGCTAGGGGCCATAGTCTCAGGGCTTTTAGCAGGCTCTATCAGACCAGCAAACCTTGTCCTTTTTTTGAATTATTATTAATTTTGAGTTTTGTTTCACATTGTTCTCCCACTCTATCCAGGACCTCCTACGTAAATCCCCCTCCGAGTGGTTGACAGTGGTAGCCAGGCACCATCTAGTTCTTCTGATCTCATGGTCATATACAGGCTGAGGATCGCATGATGTACCAGTCCCTTGGACTAATCGTTTCCATGTGTCTATGGTTTCATCATTCTTCTTTGCTGTGGACGAGGAGAGACCCATCATTGCATCTAGATGGCCACTTGCAAGCTTTTCCAATCCCAGTAACTACTCGCCAAAGTAGGATGTTAGTGTTGCCACCCTCTCATACTGGAGCCACAAGTTCCAGTCTGCAGAGCATTGGTACCCACCTGAGCTGCGGGCCCTTGCCTGCACGGATGAGTACCTGGCGAGGCACCATAGTGCCATCCAGCTGCCTGCTACTAACGTCTACCTATATAAGGTGAGTCTCCCTGGCCCCCTCATGGAGCTCTGAGAGAGTCAGGACTCCCAGAGCTGGAAGGTACAGTGGACCATACCACAACTTCCTTCCCCTGCCTCAGGCAGACATTACTAATCCATTGCAGCACACTCCCCTGACCATGAACTAGGCCCTTCCCCTGCTCCAGGCAGACATTACTAATGCATCCCAGCACATTCTCCCCTGAGCATGAAGTAGGCCCTTCCCCTGCCCCAGGCAGACAGTAACAATCCATTGCAGCACACCCTCTCCTGAGCGTGAACGAAGCCTCAGAATCCTTCTGAACACAGAGCCCCAGGAGGCATGGCTAATGGATGAGGGCAGGGAGCAGAGGCAGCTGGAGAGGCGGAGGGACTCAGAGCAAGCTCTCCTCTCCTCCCTGCCCAGTCTATCCTGCCCCACTTCTTGGGGCAGCGTGTGGATGAGGCGCAGCTGGAACACCTGCTGGGGCGGCTGGAACTCACCCTGCAACACATCTGGACCGGGACGTCCTGAAGGGCAGACCCTTCCTGGCCACCGAGCAGGTCTCCTTGGCTGATCGGGTGGCACTCACGCTCAAAGAGCTGATGCAAATGATGCGCCTCCTTTCTGCTCACCTGCCTGAAGGCATGAGGGCGCCGGCCCCCTGACCCAGCTGCCCTGCCTCCCCAGCCCACTGCCATTGGCTGCGACCTCTTCCAAGACCAGGCCTGTGTGGAGGCTGCCCTAGGTCCCAAACTCATCCAGGAGGCACACGGGCTCATGCTGCAGTCGCAGGACCCCTGCAAGGCCAGGCAGGACCCCATTGGCCCAGGAGCTGGGGGAGCAGCTGTGGGAGCAACTCCGGTGGGGGACGGCTGCTCACCTGGCCCCGGGTCGCCTGCAATAAACCAGCTTCGTATCCTCACCTTGCCTCTGACTTCTGCCTGCCCCGGGCGTGGGTCTGCCCCTTTCGTGAGCCTGGAAGGGGATCCACACAGCAGTCTCCTTGGCCCCAGGCCCTGGGTGCGAAGTTCCAGGGCATAGCCTGGTGGCCCGTTTCAGTCCACGCTCAGGTGAGCTCAGGTGGGTAGTTTCTGGGCTCCTCTGCATGGTGAAGGCTGGCTGACTGCCCTGACGGCCCGGTGGCATTGTCCCCAGTGACCCTGACCTGCCCTCATGCTGTGTGTCTTTCTCTGGTCTTTGCCTAGCTACACTTAGTTAGACCTGCCTGAGGACGCACCTCACCCCATCTCGTCCTTCACGTTTGTTCTCAGCACGCCATCCTGCAAGGCCCCCTGGTTGTTTCACAGTGAAGCTTTGGCCCAGCCATTTCAAAGCCCTTCTCAGACAGAGTGTCCATGAGGCTGTACCACTGGGCACATGTGTGTGCACATAGGGTCCCTCCCTCTATAGGGCCTCTTCCAGCTGATTCCGGGCCCTCTTCAGAATCTTTGCTGCCCTGAGAATTCCAGGCTTCCTGACATCACGATGACAGCAAGTGAACAAGAAGTTCCAGAATGCAGCTCCCAGGGCCTGGGCAGGAGAGGGCAAGCCGGGGGCTAGTGGACACAGGCCTGCCTTCCGGCCAGCCCTCCCGACATCAGGCCTAGTGCACGCCCCAGCATGGGTCTAGAGCTGTACATGGACCTCCTGTCGGCACCCTGCCGCGCTGTCTACATCTTTGCCCGGAAGAACAGCATCCCCTTCGACTTCCAGTTTGTGGATCTGCTAAAAGGTCAGCTTCCACAGCTGCCTGGCAGCTGGGCCCTGGGGGAGGCAGGCACTCAGGCATTTCTGGGAAGTGGGGACAGAGGCCTAGGAGACACCCCTCCATCCCCAGAAGTCCAGCGAGGATGAAAAGGCTCAAGGGATTCATAGGCCACGTGGCTTCCATTCACCAAACACCAAAACAACAACTCACTGCTGGTCGAGTCGATTTGACTCATAGCAACCCCTCCTTGGGTTTCTGAGGCAGTATCACCATGGAAGTATATTGCCTAATCTTCCTTCTGAGGAGTGGCTGGTGGGTTTGAACCGCCACCCTTCTGGTTAGCAGTCAAGTGCCTTAGGCACTCCGCCACCAGCCCTGCTAATTCTGCCTGTCCGGATACTGTAACAGTCCCCGTGACAATGAACAGGCTTCTCTAGAGTGGAAGGGAAAGCTGGGACGGGGTCTCTGGCCTCCATCTGGCACCGTCCCCTGTGAGTGTTGGCATCCTGTTATCCCCAGCACCTGCCAACCTACCTGGCAAAGGCAGAAGAGTGTGGCGATTCAGGTCTGAGAATCCAGACCCTACCTCCATCCACATCTGTTCTCTCAGAGTTCAAAGCTCACTTGGTTACACAACCATCTCCATCCCTGCCCTGAGCACTCAAGACCTTGCCAGACTCAAACCCACTGCTGTGGAGTCTATTCCGACCCACAGCGCCCCTAGAGGACAGAGTGGAACTGCACCACAGGGTCTCCAAGGCTGTCAATCTTCACAGAAGCAA